AGGAATTGGTAATCATGAGACGGGATGATATCAAAGTAAAGAGTGAAAGTATATTAGGAAACCAATATTTTACAAGTAAAAGAATTAAAATCATAAAGTCGCACAAATTAAGTGCCATTCTAAGGAAAACAAAACAAAGATATGAGACTCTAAATGTGATCGGCCGAGATTCTTTTAGGTTCAACTTTTCTGTAGCTGTTTCTTTTCGGATCACAATTTAAAATATGGATGGCACATAAATAAACTCTCAATGATACCATCTAGTTGAATTAATATCAGACTGATTAAGTGAGAGCTACGTACCCCTTAAGTTATAAATTATGTGTTTGTGCTTAAACCTATAGTTTGAAAATGAAATCATCTCAATGAGTTTTTAGGAACATTCTGATTCTAAGTGCTTTAACCTTCTTTTTTTTTTTGCTTTGACCAAAACCACAAACGTGGTGCCTAGCGAGACCCAACTGACCGAATTTGTTTCCGTTTTCTCATGCATGTGAATTGAGTTTTCAAGTGAAGTCACCACTGTAACAATAATCCAAATCTTGTGCCAACCAATTGAACCATTATAACAAAACTACATTATTGAATATTCAAAATTTTAAACTCGAACTATTAATCATTCGTCACATTATTGAACAACAGATTTCAAAGAACTTTCTTCGATAAACAAAACAACGTAACGTGATTTATTTCAAAGAACTGTAGTTTCGTGTACTACAAGAAAACTGTCGGATTTCAACAACAAATACGGTCAGATAATTAAATCATACTATACATATAGGTTTAATTTAATCCATCTACGTACACTGTTTTCATGAAATATGGAGATATGAAAAATAAATTAGACGAGAAATATCCCTTTAAGACATCAAGAAGGCTCAAATCAACTTCTAAGATCTGAAACCATACTATATATTGTAGACGATATAAAACCCACCCCACATTGACAATTTCGTCCAAAATAGTTGCATGTGACAACTTATTTTAACATAAACAGGATTTTTATTTTAATAATACAATCTTTAATACATGGTCCTTAGATGTGAAATTTTGTCTATATATATATATATATATATATATATATATATCTTTTCTTTCACTTCTGAATATATATATATATAGACCAAAAAGGAATAAGATATTTAGACAAAATTTCACATCTAAGGACCATGTCTTAAAGATTGTATTATTAAAATAAAAATCCTGTTTATGTTATATATATGTAACTTTTCTTTCACTTCTGAATATCTTATTCTTGTCCTAGATTTTTCATTATTTTGTATTAATCAATAGGAGAGATTTTATCTGAAAAATGAAAATTTCAATATGTTGCTAAAACGAAATAGCAAGATAAGTACGTATCAACAAAATTTATAATAAAATGTAGCGGGTAATTTTATTGTATGTAGCTTTATTTTACGATAAACAATATATAGATCTCTAAGATAATAGATCGCACGCTTATATAACTTTTTTTTTTAACTGGCCTCGGACGCTTATATAACATAATAGAAGTTTTTTTATTAATGATGTGTGAAGAGTGCGATCTATTGACAATTACTGGCCTCGATCAATGTTACTCGAGTCCTAGGTAAGTGAAGTTACCATCTACGGAGGTGGGTGATAGTATATATGGTTCATTTTCGAAGGAAAGGACTTTGTCTCCGCTGCATGCTGAATTTAACATGCTATTATCGATTATGAAAACTGTTTTGATGCTGGGCGTGACTTCAATGTGTTTTTAATTATCATCAGATCATAGTGAAGTTTATTGAAGAGGAAAGTGGGCTTAGTTGTCCTCCCAAAATTGATGATTTTTTTAATATCTCTGTTCCAATTTTATTTTTGAAAATTTCTTCTATTTCTCGTGTTTTAGCCACCTCTCTTATGAAAGGAGCTTGATCATATGGTTTAGTTCATTTCTATGTAGACTCTTTAGTTCCGAGTTCGATGGTTACGCAGCCAACCTATTTTAATCATCTTAATAATATAAAATGTTTTTGTTGTAAAAAAAAAAAAAGGATCTCACCGTCCATAATGGCTTTAAACCCATTTTGTTCATTCGAAATGAAATTTCACTGTTAACTTTTTTTATTACCATCTAATGCAATTACTTTAAAAATATTACTTATATCATGCAGAACTTTGCTGAAGTGAATCCTTAAATTTTGTTATTCATTTCAACTTTAAATCTAAACTTACAATAAATGGAGCATCTCCATAATAATAACCTCCATGCAAGATCTTCGATCACTTAATTAGCTTAGAAAAATGTTTACCATCAGAACTCTAGAAGCTTTACTTTACCAAAATTATGTATTAATGAATTGCTACCATGCATATATAGTCGTTGTTAGAAAACATTGAAAAGAATTTGTACACAACTTTTTCTCTCCGCTCCGTGAAAGTGGAACGGAGTGGACACATGTGTGAATGCATGTACATAAGTGGGTGGCATGTGTGTGAGTATATTTGCATAATATATTACAAAAATAAAAATATACGAAAAGGTATCTACGGAAGGAGAGTAAATGACAAAATGAATAAAGGTAGGACATGTGAGAAGAGGCCATGTTTTGCGGCAATATCACGAGGGCCACTATACGGCTTTGTAATCTCGATGTTTTTGTGCCGATCTCTTGGCTTCTCTTACTTGAACTCTAGCTTCTAACGGCACCTTCTCCGAGTATCTTACCACTTAGCAGACTTTTCTATCTTTAGTACATTACTATAGAGTTTTAGGCATTAATCATTATCTCCTATAATTCCATTGTATTATTGGCCGGAATAATAAATATAATAGGTTTTCTTTGTTTGCTGTCTACAATCAAACCCAAGTTCTGATACACTCTCTAAAAGAAATTCAGGTTGAGTTTATTGAGCTACTTAATATTTTTATTATTTTCCATTTCATATATCCCATCTTGATCAATGACTATAGTCTAGTTTGGTCTGGTTAGATAACCATTAACTTTTAGTTGCCCAACATAAATGGATTAATCTCAAATCGAACATGGTAGTAAGAATGTTTTGTAAGCATATTTTTGTAAAAATAGTGGAATATTTTAAAATTAGTCTTTATTTCTATATAAATTTCAGTATATGGGGGAGTGAGAACTTATATATGTACATTATAACAGTTCCCTCATATAAAATAATACAATATATGTTCTCCATCTTTTTCTATATGAAGATAAAAATACTCTTGAATCAAGCTAGTTTATCGAATACGTCTACCCTTTTCACTTTAATAAAAGTAACTTTTTTTTGTTAATTAACTTTAGATTCGTTTGCAAATGGCGAATAGTCTCATTAGATATGGATGTGATGAAAATGCTGACCTCCCTACCCAATAAAACTAAAGTAATGTTCCTTATATATGTTGTAAGTATCGACTCTTTCGCTTATTTTACAGTAAAACGGTGTTCGAGTTATAATGTGTTTAGGTTCATTTTTATTCTAAAAAAAAATTTTAATTAATACTCGTATATATCAATGTGAAAGCATATATAAATTCGAGACGGGAGTTTGAAACGAAATAGTTTGAGAACAAAATGGAAATGAAAAAAAAAATCTTATTACACAGTAGAAACTAGATTAATATTCGATAAATTAATAAACATGTTAAATTAATAATTTTTTATGGTCTCGAATTGGGCTGGTTTAAAATATGATACACTTTGATAAATAATAAGATAATAATTTTTACAAAACTTTTATGTGAATATTTGGTCCTACTAATATTATAAATTAATAATTACTATAAACAAAAATCTGATATAAACATATAAGTGAGATAATATACTAAAATATGAGTTTATTAATGTTTTAATTTATTTTAAATGAAAGTTTTCTTAGAACTCATTTTTAATTTTACAAATATTCTTTTTAAAAATTATAATATTTTTAAAACATTTCTTTTAAAATTAATAAATAATAAATAATATTTTTTTGAAATCTATAAATTAATAACTCTATAAATTAATAAAATATCAAAGTTCCAACATTATTAATTTATAGAGTTTTAACTGTAGTCATATTTAAAATGAGAATAAATAGGATGCACGACAAATACTTTGATATGTTCCATTTTGGGAAATGATGATATTTAAAATAAATATTCATTTGCTTACAGTTTAATTAACTACTTGAATATTTGCATTTTGTTCTGGTTTAATTACATTTAAGTTATATATAATATAATATTTAAGTATATGCTTGTATTCCGTGAAACAATGAATTTGTTTGTTCCGTTCCATTCCTAACATGATTCCAAGAAAGACTATATAGGGTTTGGTCTATGGATTTTCTTGTTGTAATTCTCAAAATTGCCATAAACCCCCTTTTCAGCCTATTTTGTGTTATTTTTAGAACTTATCTAGAATATATCATTAATATACCACGAACGTTTCTAATATGATGGTATATTATAAACTAAAACTCTTTTCTATGATATTTAGATAAGAGTATTACACTTATCTTAGCATGAGTCCTAAAAACATGGAAAAAGGAAAAGACAAACAGAGCGGTGGCCAACTCCACTACTACATTTGCTAATGCCTTATGATACGATTTCTATATATTCAAGAATCCTATATGTTTGTAGTTCATGTCACCTAATCCAATTAAAATAAACTAATGGGATTTGTTTCTTCTATAACAAGAGTATATTTGCCACTACACCAAAATCTAAATCTGGATCTGTGTCAACGTTTTGTATGGTTGGATGCAAGTAGAATCATCAAATACATTAGTGCTTCTGAATATTAAATAGAGTTGGTATAAATGTAACCAAAATTCTATACACACACACATATCTATATATATATAAATGTATGGATCAGTTATATGTAACAGGTTGTTCCCACTGGATCACTTTGTCTTCTTGGATCCCTTCCCACCAAAAACACAAGCATATAAAACAACAAAGATGCACTATTCTCTCAATCTACTCTCTCTCTCCTTATATAGTAGATTCTATATATTATCGACAGTATAATCTAACTTTCACTGTCTTTCGATTTCATTCTCTCTTTTAATGGCTCCTCCTTTACCTTTCTTACCAGACCAAACCAAGCAAACGCGTTTATCTTCAGACCAAAAGAAGAAGAACAGAAACAAGAAAACGCCCCCGCCGCCTCAGACGCTAATGCAAACGCAAAGGCAAAAGGTGAAGCAGAAGCAGAAGACAGTATTATCATCATCATCATCATCATCATCTTCGTCGTTCTCGTCATGGAGCCAGATAAAGAACCTTTTGAGCTGCAAGCAAATCGAAGGTCCACGAGTGCACGACCCATCAAAGGTTACGTCATCATCTTGTGGCTCCTCTCTATGTAAGTTCAGTGATGTTATTTACGGTAATGCACGTGTGATTCACCGCTCCGATCACTCGCCTGAGAGTAGCAACCTAGGTCAAGATGCCGGGTTGTTGACCCGAAAACCCGTCACCCGTGGATCTTTTTCTTCTGTTAGATCCAACGGTTGTGGAGCTTACACGTCATATTCATCTTCTAAAGCGATGCACTTTAGAAAACTCTCCGGTTGCTATGAGTGCCACATGATTGTTGATCCCAGCAGGTTCAAATCTTTTTTTATATGAATTACAATTAATAAGATTAGTTAATTGATGAGTATGTAATTAATGATCTGTTTGTATGTAATTAATGATGTAGGTATCCAATATCACCAAGAATATTTGCATGTCCACAATGTGGGGAGGTATTTCCTAAGCTTGAAACCTTGGAGAATCATCAAGCAGTTCGTCACGCCGGTAAGTTTTTCTTTTAATTTATCATTTTTCAATACGAGAATTAAAATAAACAAAATTTGCGTTGGTATAAAACAGTATAATTAGCTCAACTAAAAAAGTACCAAGAACAAAGTTTAGAAGTTACAAAATCGAGTAACATACTAACATCTGAAGGAACTACATAACATATCTTGAAGTTGATTTCAAGTGATATACGATCCTTAATTAAAAATTTCTTACTCATACAAAATAATAAAAAAAACTCATTTTGTACCATTTATAGGAGCTTAAAAACTGTCGAAATATCTAAAATACGCGGGCACACATAACCATTAATATATATATGGATCAGAAAAAGTTCAGCTTAACTCAAATTTTTGTTTATGTTTTCGGTCAGAAAAACAAATTAATTAATTTTGATTCTTTGGATTTATCAATTAATTAGTTTTAAAAGTATTAAAATAATAGTTTGGTCTGTCTTTTATTATTTTTCTTTTCTCGTAACTGGGGCCATAAATCTGGCATGTCATGTCGTTGTTTTTGGATATGCATGTACAGCAGCTAGCATAAGATTAGAATATTTTATGTCGTAATCACATATTAGGCGACAAACAACATAATTTTACATCATTAATCTACCATCCCTATTTTACATCTAACAACAAATATCATCATAAACCAAAAAAAATAATCCAGTTTTATTCACATTAAAAAATAATACAAAAATATGTACACGTCATTGTGGTTTAGATAATATGAATATAAGCTTTCAGGCTTGTAGACTTTTACTAGGTAGATACTTTTATCACATATATAGAATTTTATATTGGCCCATGTTATATTACATATAAAAACGTTTTGTAATGGTTTTGTATACAAGTATTTTGTAATTATCAACAAATCTTGGATCCTATCTATTCGAGCTAGATTTAAGGATCCATCTCTATTAATCTTGGATTCCTTCTACTTGTGGTAGATTTAAGGATACATCCATTTCTATATCGACAAACAAAATTGTAAAGATATTTTTGTAATGTTGTTAAATATTTTGATAACAGTGTCCGAGCTGGGGCCAGAGGATTCAGGGAGAAACATAGTGGATATCATCTTCAAATCTAGCTGGTTAAGAAAAGACAGTCCCATCTACAAGATCGAACGGATATTAAAAGTCCACAACACCCAACGCACGATCCAACGGTTTGAAGATTGTCGCGACGCAGTCAAGTCCCATGCACATGCATCCACCAGAAAAGAGCCTCGATCAGCTGCCGACGGCAACGAGCTCCTCCGGTTTCACTGCACCACCGTTTCTTGCTCCCTTGGCTCTCGCGGTTCGACTTCTCTCTGCTCCAACGTCCCTGGCTGCCGGGTTTGCACCATTATCCGCCACGGCTTCCACGCCAAAACGCTGCGTTTAGGAGGTGGAACCAATGAGATCAAGGGCGTGAGGACCACGGCGAGTAGCGGAAGAGCCCACGATGCATTGAGGTGCTTTGACCAGCGGAGAGCGATGCTTGTTTGCCGTGTGATCGCCGGGAGAGTGAGGCGCGTGCAGAGCGACGCGCCGGAAGATGAGATTGGTTCTGGCTCGTATGATTCTGTGGCGGGCGTTGCTGGGGTTTACACAAACCTGGACGACTTGGTTGTGTTTAACCCCAAGGCCATACTTCCTTGCTTTGTAGTTATCTACAAAGTTTCCGAGCCTTAACAAAAAAAAAAAATTGAACTTTTCAAGATTTGGATTTGTAAGTTATTTAGTGAAATGTGTGAGGCAGTGGTTGTAATATTTAGGAACAAGAATTAGCATATTATTGTGTACAATTAGTTTGGTGTGGCCTAGTCGAGAGTAAATGACTAGTACTGTCTCCTTTCTTTCATTCTATGAATTCGATTTAACGTACGTTGGTGGTCATTAAAAATGTAACAATTACCTTTTTACGGTAACGATAAAAATTATGGACCTTTAAATCCATACTAATCCCTGAACTACTAACTACTTAGTAGAAAAATGAATTCTCTTGTCACTTAAAATGACTACAATGACGAAAACGAAATTCAAAATAATGATGAAATGTGACTCGTTTCCACATGACAAGTCCTCAAGCACTTGAACAACACTGTTTTACCACGACATTTTGGTTGATAATTAACTTTTTTCAATTTAATTTTTGTTTTTTTTTGTTTCTGGATTAAAAATATCATGCCTGATTAAGTTCTAATGCTGAAGTCGACAAAATAATAAACGGTGGTTTTATGTTTGCTATAGAAAGAGCAAAGTTGCAGAAAGAAGGGAAATGTGTATAACAAAAAGGTACGTAGAATGAGAGGAGTGGTGCTTGCAGGTTGGTTTTATATTGTAGGTGCCTAACTAAATTTCTTTATAGTGTGCAACATTGGACTCCGAACTTAATATACGCTAATGAGAGGAGTGGTGCTTGCAGGTTGGTTTTATAATGTAGGTGGCTAACTAAATTTCTTTATAGTGTGCAACATTGGAATCCAATTAAATCAAACTAATAACCTTTTAACTATCTTTATTGATTCACTTTAGAAGTTTTGTATGTAAAAGTAAATATTTTCATTTATGGAATAGTCTTGTGTGCTATTGTGTTAAGTTACATGAACTAAATATCTTAAAGATATTACAATATTGAGAAATTACTGAATACGTATGTGACGATCTTAATTACTTAACTATAATTCAGATCATGACATGACTAATAACGAATGAAGTTGTTTACGTTATTAATTAAGCATTTTGAAGTTTTTTACGTTTTTTACTGAATACGTAAGTTTTTAACGTTATTAATATAGATCATAATGATATGACGTTAACGTAAGGAGATTACATTCGCTCCCTAGTTTTTTCCTTATTTTCTTGATGTTGGTATCACACAAAAAGGAGGAAATGACTTGTTAAGCGTATGACATTCGATGTATTTAAGACAATACACTCCACAGTCACCAGTTTGTTTGTTTTGAGGAACTTGATCTCCTTGGACCCCAGATAAGTGTAGGGAACATTTGGGTGCGAGTATCTTTCTTCTAGAGGAGCTAGTGTGTATCACGTAAGGTATGATTTCACATATAAGTTTCACCGCAGTTTCAGTGATCTCTTCATCGTTAGCATAAGAAATAATGCTGTCTCAAAGAACGATGTGCCTCGATCGAATTGAAATCCACATAGCTATCCAATGATATTCTTTTAGATGCATGGAGGAGTAGATATCATTCACATTGAGACCCCATATTTTGTTTGATTTGCATAAATCTGGTATATCTCCTATACGGTAAGAATAGGCTCCAAGAGGAAATGCTATGTGCAAACCTTGTACATTCCTTGACTCGATAATTTCTTCTTTAATAGCTTCTTGTCCAAATGGATTCTTTTGGATAAATTCTTGAACATTCTCAGTTTCTACTAGCTTCTCCAAATACAGCTTCAGATCACCACTATCACCTATTATTAACATCAAAGTACCAAAATATATAATGATGTATATAACTATTAATCAAACATATAAGAGAGAAATACTGATAACATCTTTTTTTTTTTACCTAACGATGTATCTTTCTCATTGTGATAATTGTATGTGTCAGGGAATATTGCTGTATGTGGCTGTAAAATCAGATACACATACAATTATCACAACGAAACTACATTATTTTAAGGGAATATTTAATTTTTTGTGATAATTGTATGTATAAAAGAATTATCTGAGCCACATACAGCAATATTCTCTGACACATACGATTACCACAACGAGAAAGATACATCGTTAGGTAAAATAAAAAAATGTTAACAGTAATTTTTTCTTGTATGTTTGATTAATAGTTATATACATCATTATACGTTTTGGTACTTTGATGTTAATAACAGGTGATGGTGGTGATCTGAGGCTGTAGTTGGAGAAGCTAGTAAAAGCTGAGAATGTTCAAGAATTTATCCAAAATAATCCATTTGGACAAAAAGCTATTAAAGAAGGAAGTAAAAATTGGGATTTCTAACGTGAAATTATTATTAAGATTGGTACTAATTACTAAAGCACGTCGACGCAAAGACATAAGAGGCAAAATGGTTCCTAATTTCTTGCTTGTAATATTCCTACTTTTAGTATTTCTCAGAAAGCAATCCATAAGAAAATGCGCTTCCTAAACCTGTGGTGGAGTTAGTTATGTTTGCATTACTTTTTCTTCAAATTTTGAAAAATTCAGGAAGCTATTTGGGAAATATAAACACAAAGATTTTCAAAATTTTCTGCAAAAAAATTTGGTCATATGTTGTTCGTACTACTTTTTTAAATAGGTACATGTTTTGAAGAATCATTCCCGGATCAGGTCAAGGACAAAGATGAGCTCAATGTAGGGAAAACAACACTGGAACCAGAATTTGTAGTTTGTAAAACAAAACCTCCAAATGTAGATTTCGATAAAGTGAGGAGAGCAAAGCACGATGTAAGGGAGAAAGCAGCAGCGCTCATTGTGAAATCAAGGTCTGAGCAGATTAACCACGAAGCAGGCGAAAAGGGTACCCATGTTGTAGAGAAGGTAATTCATATGAACCTGACTACACGCAGCAATGGGTACGATCCTTTTAAACCTTTCGACAAGGAAAAGGCCAAAGTAATGATTGAATGGTTGAAAAATTGCCCGTAAGTCTCACTGCTCTAAGTTTTTTTATTGTATGTGTGTGTTCCTACCTTTTTGATCTCAGACGAATAACTTGACTTGCAGAGAGTACAAGAAAAGGAACAAAGTCAAAGTAAACTCATCAACATATTGGTATCACGCACAGCGGAATCCAACCAGATTTCTTCATGAGACGGTGAGATTTCCAGGAGAAGCCTGAGCATGAAATCTGATCTCTAAGTCTCACTGTGAAGTTTAATAGTTGGTGAAAAAACTTGTTGAGACTTCAAGATCACACTTCACATTCAGATTTTCAAAACTCAGACTTCTTTTTTTTAACTAGCAGTAAGTTTAGGATTCTTTTTTCCACCTTCTAAGACATTGTTTTCTAAATGCAGCACATTGATGTTGGGATTAATCTATTGAGATATCGGTACGAAAACCATCCAGAGTGGTTTAGAAGCGAGAGGCTTTGCTTTCTTGATACTAGTTTCAACACAGTATGCGTGTTCTTACTACAAGACATTTGTTGAGTCAGGGAATGCAGAAGGTTTACACAGAGCATTAGCCCACTTAGTTCTTTGGGACAGCATTATTTCTTTTGTAACGATGACGGTGAAACATATATGTGAAATCATACCTTATGTGTTACACACACTAGCTCCTCTGGAAGAAATATACTTGTACCCAAATGTTCCTACACTTATCTGTGGGTCCCAGGAGATTAAGTTCCTCAAAACAAACAAATTGGTGACTGTGAATTGTTTTGTCTTAAGTAATTCGAGTGTCATGCGCTTAACAAGTTATTTCCTCTTTATTTGTGTGATACCAACATCAAGAAATAAGAGAAAAACTAGGGAGTAACTATACTCTCCTTACGTTAATTAATCTGCTTAATAATAAAGTTTTTAACGTTATAACATCAAGAGTTTTGAAATATAACAAAAGATTTTGAAGTTTTTTACGTTATAACTTATATTCTTGGAAGAATCTCAAACTCTGTCTAACCACAATAATCCAGCATATGTGATCATCGTTTGACGCAGTTTCTTTAGTCTCAAACAAGTGATCAATTAGACCTCTATTACATAGAAATAGCATTTATACTTAAAACAAGGGTAGCACAACACAAAAACAAAATTTAACAGTTTCAGTAACATACCTACTGGTCAAACTTAAGTTAGCATATGTTTAAAATTGTTTTTCAAAAATCTACCTTTAACTCACAAAAATGTTTTACAAACCCCAAAAACTCTAGAAGAACACCAAACAACATCGGAGAACGAGTTAAGAATGCACTTAGCATTTAAAATGAAGGGGGGGGGGGGTGTTGGAAAATACCTGAGTTTATCCGAGCACTTTGGCCGAAAAAATAAAGACCTATTCAGCTCAATTATAGACAGAATAAGGCAGAGATCAGTATCTTGGGCTTCAAAATTACTCTCCAGCGCTGGGAAAATGGTTCTCCTTAAAGCTGTACTTTCATTAATGCCTACATATTCAATGTCCTGCTTCAAACTCCCTGTAAACCTATGCAAAAGAATACAGTTAGTTCTTAGCAGATTCTGGTGGGGGTGCTAATCCAGAAGAAAAGAAAATATGCTGGGTGGCTTGGCACAAACTTACAAAAGAAAAGAATGAAGGAGGACTGAGGTTTAGAGATGTACAACAGTTCAACGATGCTCTACTAGCAAAGCTAAGTTGGCGCCTATTGACTAAACCAGAGTGTCTTTTGAGCAGAGTCTTAAAAGGCAAATATTTTCCATCATCCAACCTGTTAGAAGCACAAATCACTGAATCAATTTCGCATGGATGGCGTGAAATTTTAGTGGAAAGATATCTCCTAAAGAAAAACATTGGAAAAGCCATTGGAGATAGAAAACCAACTAGCATGTGGGAGGACAACTGGATATCAACTAGAAAAATATGCAAACTTATTGGCCCTGCTCTAGAGAATGTCTACAAGATGAAAGTGGCTGACCTGTTTGTGAGCAACACAAGGGAATGGAATGTTGATCTGATAAGCGAAATCTTATCAGAGTATGAAACGGAGATCTTGTGCACCAGACCAAGCTCATATGATGCCCCTAACAAGCATATCTGGATACCACAAGCATCAGGAGAATACACAACAAAAACTGGATATTACACAGCTAATTCTACCTATTCCTAAGACGGATCAACTCCTATTTTAACCAGAGACTTCAATTGGAAAACCGAGATATGGGAGTTTTTCAGAAAAGATAAAGCTTTTTCTTTGGAAAACAATGCAAGGAGCATTACCAGTCGGCAAAAACCTTGTCACTAGGAGAATAATCCCACATTCGAGCTGCATTCGATGCAGTGAACCCAAACAGCAAAACACATATTTTTCCTTTGCGCGTACGCTCAAGAGGTCTGGGACTTGATACCAGCGAAAATGAGAATAGACACATCCCTTGTCCCTAATATCAAAGCAAGAATTATGAGTCTCAAAGGGATAACATGCCTCCCACCAATAAGAGTGGGATCTGGCCCCATATATCTGTGGATCCTCTGTGATGTGATCTTCCCAAAGATCGGCACTCAGAAGTTGGTAAAGAGGATAAGCTTGTCTCAAAGAAATGGTGAAGTCTCAATGAATAATAAGTGGAGTGAATGGTCGCAAAGAAGCTTCAGAAGGCTCCTGATATACCAGTGTGATCCCTTGGATATGACACAAAAAGACGGATATGTGGAACAAAGGCGCCACAAACGGGGATAAAAAACCATTTGATAAGCCAACCACGGATATTACACCACATGATCTGATCAATTGATATTACACACCATGATCAAAAAGAGAATGAGAATCACTCTCAAAGGTTCCAAAAATATTGATTAAAACTTATTTCTCTCAAGTGAGATTACATGAGTTTAAATAGAAAAGAGAAACTTGAAAATAAAGCTAAACAAATAAAAGCTACCTTACATGCACTCAACTTAGCAAAATGAGAATTAAATACAACCAATGCATCTAGAGAAAGATAAATGCTTCTAAATTTTCGTCACTTCTTTTGAGCCATAAATTTAAATAATTTGTTTTGGGCCTAAAACTCTTCATGTCGACCCATTTAGGAAAATGGAGTGTATCTTTGTGATCCATTGTCTGTTCTTGGGCTTGTTAGAACCACATGAGATCCATTAAGCTTCTCCAAGTGGTTTCTTGTCGAGATCTCTTCTGAGTTGGACTGTGCGACTTGATCTTTGGCATGGACGCATAATCGGGTCTGAACCAAATCAACTGGTTTGTAAAATCCATATCTCCCAATTCTGAATCGGTTTTGATGTGAATCCAATTCGACGTGGTTCTGGGATTGATGAGGTCATCGAGCACTCTAATGAGGATCCCAATATCCCAACACTTCAAACAGGTCCCAGGACTTGGTCTAGAACCAGGAGCCTGCGTGAAAAGATCAACTTAGCCGTATCTAACTTCATACAAACACCCGAGGAGGAGCAAGTAGAGGACACTGCTCAAACTCAACCGAACCAGCCACGGTCTAGCAAGAAAACAGGTATGAAATCTCTCTTGACAGGACAAGGAGTCGAGACCATCAAAAAGCCCGAGGAGACCATCACCCAAGAGTCCAAGACAAGCAACACCAAACACTTAGCCGATAACGATCAACCGGAGCTTGCACAAGAGACGCTAGCTGAGGAAGAGGCTGCCAAGGAAAGGATTCTCGCACTTGAAACAAGCATCATCACACTACCAAGGCCGCAGAAGACCACCTGAAGATCGCCCCAACACACGTCAAGAACAGCTCACTTCTCCCATGGCCTCTTTTGCGTGCACAACATGTAAACTTTATTTATGAGTTTTGTGCAGGAACAGAAGACCAGCTCAGTGGTGACTAAGAGCCACGATAGCCCAGAGACACCAGAGATCAAGTCTCGGTCAAGACTCAAGAGTTTATTTTCTTTTTAATTTATTTAAGTATAACTTTTCTTATTTGTGTCCAAATGAGACAACTCGCTGTTTACTTGTTTCTTTGCCGTTTTTCTTTTGTTTCTTTTGCAAGTCATGTGGTTTTTGAGTCTTTTCTTTTCATTTGAGCAGCCAGGGGAGCTTGGGAGGCCCGGTGAAACCCACCTCAACCAGAAGAGGAGATGCCCATCTGGGAAGATGATATACCTCCCGATCCATTGCAACATCAACAACAACCAGCTCGTGACCCTTTGCGAGACAAAACGCAAGACTAGACGAGGCAAGAGAAGGTAATTATGATGTTAAGCTAACTCCCCCAACTTTTGCTGGCAAAGCAGATCCCGGCGTGTACTTAGACTGGGAGAGAAGGCTTGAATATATCTTTGAGTGTTACAGTTACTCTGACCGTAAGAAGGTGGCGCTTGCTGGAGCCCAACTCACAGATAATGCCTTAGCATGGTGGGACAGGAACGTGGCAGACCGGAGGAGGAACCACTTTGCACCGGTCACAACATGGCGAGACATGAAGTTCCTGCTGCAATCAAGGTATGTGCCTGATCATTATCACTGAGACTTACAAAAACGTTTTCAAAAATTGTCGCAGGGAACTAGGTCAGTGCATGAATATTTTGAGGAGTTTGAGAAGATGGTGAACCTGTTGGAGCTCTAGGAGACTGAGGAGGCTTTGATGGCCCAGTTTATAGATAGCTTACAAGAGATTATAGCTCGTAAAGTGGAGCGAGCTCAATATAGTGGGATGCATGACCTGTTGCACTTGTCAGAGCAAGTGGAGCAGCAGATCAAGCACAAAACCGCCTTGTCAAACAGAAACCGTGCTCCTCAGACCTGGAACGCTAGTAGCTCCAAACCGGTGGACAAAGGAAAGGTTATAGAAATCGATTCACGCTACAAAGGCAAAGCCACCAAAACAGCTAAGACTTCACGTGTGGAGCAAGGTAAGTTCTCTAGTGCGCCTAGAACTCGTGAAATCATATGTTTTAAGTGTCAGGGGAGAGGTCACATGGCTAGAGAGTGCCCAAACCAACGTGTAATGGTGTTGCTACCCGGTGGAGACTATGAGTCTCAAGATGAGCTCGATGATGAGCCAGATGATCTCGGAGAAGAAGTAGAGTACCCTGACACGGGAGATCTATTGGTGACTCGACGTGTGCTCAGTGTCCTTGTCAACCAGGAGGAGAAGCTCCAACGTGAAAATTTGTTTCACACTCGTTGCACCATCCGAGACAAGGTATGTAACTTAGTCATTGATGGAGGATCTTGTGATAATGTTGCTAGCAAGGTTATGGTGGACAGGTTGAGACTAGAAACCGTTAAACACCCTCGACCATACAAACTAAAATGGCTCAATGACACGACCGAGCTGAAAGTTACCAATCAAGTCACCGTTCCCTTCAGTGTAGGCAAATACCGAGATCAAGTCTTGTCTGATGTAGTGCCGATGCAGGCTGGACATATTTTTCTAGAGAGACCTTGGCAATATGATCGAGCCACATTGCACAATGGACGTACTAACTTCTATTCAGTCACTCACAAAGACCACAAGTATAAGTTGGCTCCACTTACACCCTCCGAGGTACATGAAGTACAAGCTAGAATGAGCAAGGAGCAGCAGGTAAGTAAAACTAACTTATATCTCACTTTTGGCGCCGTTTCAAAAACTTTAAGTGCCAAAGGCACTGTGCTACTAATGGTCTACAAAGAATGTTTGAGCGCAGAAAATAAGGAGTTAGATATACCCCCGGAGATTCAAGCTCTCATTGAACGATTCAAGGATGTTTTCCCTGATGAAATACCAGCCGGCCTGCCTCCCATTCGAGGAATTGAGCATCAAATAGACCTCATCTCAGGTGCAGCATTGCCCAACAAGCCAGCTTACAGAATGAATCCCGAGGAAAGCAAAGAACTTGAGAGGCAAGTAAGAGATTTGATGGACAAGGGCTATGTGCGAGAGAGCCTCAGCCCGTGTGCGGTCCCTGTGTTGTTAGTGCCTAAGAAAGTTGGCACTTGGAGGATGTGCGTTGACTGTAGGGCTGTTAACAACATCACCATCAAGTACAGACACCCTATACCTCGTCTTGACGACATGCTTGATGAACTAAGTGGTGAAACAATCTTCTCAAAGGTGGATCTTAAGATTGGGTACCACCAGGTGCGAATGCGTGAAGGAGATAAGTGAAAAACCGCTTTCAAGACTAAACAAGGTCTTTATGAATGGTTGGTGATGCCATTCGGACTGACAAACGCTCCCAGCACCTTCATGCGCCTAATGAACCAGGTTCTAAGGTCTTTCATTGGTAAATTTGTTGTAGTGTACTTTGATGATATTCTCATTTACAGCAAGAGTTTACCTGATCATCTTATGCACTTAGAACTAGTTCTTAAAACGCTTCGAAAGGAAGAGCTCTATGCCAACCTTAAGAAGTGCTCATTTTGTACTAACAAGCTTGTATTTTTAGGTTTTGTTGTTAGTGAATGTGGCTTACAATTGGATTAGGAGAAGATCAAAGCTATACAAGAATGGCCGACCCCTTCCACCATCAGCCAAGTTCGGAGTTTTCATGGCCTAGCAAGTTGTTACCGCCGGTTTGTGCGAGATTTCAGCACAATAACTACCCCACTCACGGCTGTTATCAAAAAGAACACACCATTCACTTGATGAGCCGCACAAGAAACAGATTTTAACTCCCTTAAAACTCGTTTAACTCAAGCATCTGTCTTAGCTTTACCTGATTTTGATGTAACGTTTGAAGTTGAATGTGATGCTTCAGGACTAGGGATTGGAGTCGTGTTACATCAAAGGCAGAGGCCAGTGGCATATTTCAGTGAGAAGCTAAGCGGGGCCACTCTAAATTATCCCACATATGACAAGGAGCTGTACGCGCTTGTAAGAGCATTGGAGACTTGGCAACATTATCTCCTCTCCAAAGAGTTTGTGATACACACGGACCATGAAACCCTTAAGCACCTGAGAGGTCAAAAAACTCTTAAGAGAAGACACGCCAAGTGGATGGAAGATGGAAGATGCATTGTCTTGGCGACATGCATTGATCTCCACCATGGAGGCCAAAGTCTTGGGATTCGAACACGTCAAAGGGTTATACGAAGAGGATCTTGACTTCTCTGAGAGCTACAAGTCAAGTGGAAAAGGAGCCTTTGGAGCTTATTACCTGCACGATGGGTTTTTGTTTAAAGACAAGAGGATGTGCATTCCATAAGGGTCTATACAAGATCTACTAATAAGAGAAGCTCATTGTGGTGGCCTAATGGGTCATTTCGGCATGAACAAGACCTTAGCCGTTCTGGTGGACCATTTCTTATGGCCATATATGAAGAAAGATGTGGAGAAATTTTGTTCAAAATGCATCACTTGCCGCAAGGCTAAGTCCAGGTCACATCCCCATGGCTTATACATTCCTTTACCTATCCCTAATGCTCCTTGGGTGGATATTTCCATGGATTTTATACTAGGTTTACCCAAGATGAGGCACAAGGATTCTATATTTGTAGTGGTGGACCTATTCTATAAGTTGACACACTTCATACCTTGTGCCAAAGTGAATGATGCCACGCAGACAGCTGACCTATTCTTTAAAGAAGTGGTGCGTCTACACGGGGTCCCTAGGAGATAGAGACACCAAATTCTTGAGTCATTTCTGGAAGACACTTTGGAGAAAACTAGGTACCAAGCTGCTCTTCTCCACCACATGCCACCCCCAGACCGATGGACAAACCGAAGTGGTGAACCGCACACTTTCGACCTTACTCAGAGCCACCATCGGTAACAATTTGAAAAATTGGTTAGAGTGTCTCCCCTTTGTTGAATTTGCTTATAACCGAGCCACACACTCTGCTACTAAACTGTCTCCTTTTGAAGTTGTATATGGGTTCAATCCATTAACCCCTTTAAATCTCTCACCATTACCTCAAGTGGAACAAGTTAATCTAGATGGCTTGAAGAAGGGAGAGTTCATCAAGAAACTTCATCTAAAGGCCAAGGAGAACATAGAGAAAAAGACTGAAGGGTACAAGAGGAGAGCTGATAAGGGCCGCAAAGAGTTAGTCTTCAAACCCGGAGAATGGGTTTGGCTTCATATGAGGCCTGAACGATTCCCACACAAGAGGAACTCCAAGCTAGCACCGAGGGGAGATGGCCCATTCCCTGTCTTGGAGAGGATAAATGACAATCCCTACAAACTTGAGCTACCAGGTGAGTTTAACATTTTGCATAGTTTCAATGTAGCTGATTTGTCTCCTTTTGATGCAGGTGAAACAGTTTTGAGGGAAAAACCTCTTGAAGACGGAGAGAAGGATGAGATCATCGAGCACTCTAATGAGGATCCCAATTCCCAACACTTCAAACAGGTCCCATGACTCGGTCTAGAACCAGGAGCCTGCGTGAAAAGATCAACTTAGCCGTATCTAACTTCATACAATCACCCGAGGAGGAACAAGTAGAGGACACGACTCAAACTCAACCGAACCAGCTACGGTCTAGCAAGAAAACAGGTATGAAATCTCTCTTGACAGGACAAGGAGTCGAGACCATCACAAAGCCCGAGGAGACCATCACTCAAGAGTCCAAGACAAGCAACACCAAACACTTAGCCGATAGCGATCAACCGGAGCTTGCACAAGAGACGCTAGCTGAGGAAGAGGCTGCCAAGGAAAGGATTCACGCACTTCCAACAAGCATCATCAACACTACTAAGGCCGCAGAAGACCACCTGAAGATCGCCCCAACACACGTCAAGAACAGCTCACTTCTTCCATGGCCTCTTTTGCGTGCACAACAGGTAAACTTTAGTTATGAGTTTTGTGCAGGAATAGAAGACCAGCTCAGTGGTGACTAAGAGCCACGAGAGCCCATAGACACCAGAGATCAAGTCTCGGTCAAGACTCAAGAGTTTATTTTCTTTTTAATTCATTTAAGTAGAACTTTCCTTATTTGTGTCCAAATTAGACAACTCGCTGTTTACTTGTTTCTTTGCCGTTTTTCTTTTGTTTATTTTGCAAGTCCTGTGGTTTTTGAGTCTTTTCTTTTCATTTGAGTCGAACCCTAGAAGGTTCAAGCTGATGGACTGTTTATAAAGTTCCCTTGCAGCTTTGTAGTTCGATAACTTTTTGCTTATCAATAAAATAATGCCGTTTTCTTTGAAGCTTTTGCTTGAGAGAGTTGCTTGCCTTTGTGTGTGTGTGATTCCACTCAAAGGTTAGTGTTGCTGTATCAGAGAGTCTTCCATCCTATCTGTGGTGCCATCGACCCACCCTCATTTCCCCTGAACCGATCCAACAAGAGAGAGTGAAGGCCAGCTTGTTAGATCTCCATCGATCCTTTGTGTGACTCTATCCCGAGGCATACATCAGGGATGGATCAAGAATCCATAACATGTTGATTCATTGATTGATTCTCTCTGACTTGGTAATCCTTCTTTGATTGCGCACAGGTCCAAATCGAGTAAGCTCGAGTTTGTCTGACTTGTAAAATTAATAACTCGTTCATCTGAACTCCGATTGAACCGATTCCACTTCGAGGTGCTATCTGTATGAGCTGGGAATGTTGTACAAGTGGTCGTTGGTCGGGTAGAATTGAATTTAGCCTTTATTTGTGCTGAACAAGTAAGACATGTCTTCTCTTTGCCCAAAACTCTTGTTGATTTTTCTTGCTGTCCTTCAGGATCATATCACTATGGATCCTCTGGACTGCAAGAAACAATAGAATCTTTAACAACATGAACTTCTCTGCAATGGAAACAATGACTAACGCCATTAAAAGAGCGCGAGAATGGCAACTTGCTAAACCAGAAAAGAAACCAAATTTGGGAAAAAAGGAGAGTTTTGAGGATTATCTTCCCAAGAAACTTGATCAGATGTTTTACAGATGGAGCATGGAGAGAAGACTTGTGCGCAGCTGGAACCAGATGTATCTTCAAATCAGAAGGGAACATAATTATAAACCAAGGATCAGAGGCTCTATTTTTGTCAACTCTCCTCTAGCTGCAGAAGCTTTGGCAATCAGAGGAGCTCTAATCAAAGCAATCGAGCTGGGCTATCTGAGAATTGGCATCGCCTCCGAGTCGCAATCACTGATTTGAGCAATCAACAAAGGAGAACAGATCTCTGAAATTTATGGAATCATGCAAGATATCTCCAAGTTATCTCTTTATTTTGATGTAATTTCGTTCAATTTTGTTCCTCGAAAAGCCAATATGTTGGATGATTCGATCGCAAAAAGCTCTCTCTTTGGCCTGTATGAGGCACAGGAGATGAACAGTGTAACATGAGTTTTTTTTTTGTCAAACATGAGTTTTATTTAAGGAAAGTTTAAAACAAAAAAATCTCACAAACTCAAATTTAAACCACAACTAGATTTTACCCCGTACATTCGCACAGAAATTTATTTTAGTCAAATTAGTTATGTTTTTTTTAGATATATAATTTTTTTTAATAAGTGACAAAATTTTATTTTTATATTTATATATAATTTTTAAAAAAAAATTTTATAATATTATTATGACTTCGATCACAAAAACGTATTCTAATCCGGTCATTTTATTAATTAAAAAATAATCATTATTATAAAAAAAATATTTCTAAATCACTCATTCTATTAATCCAAAAATAACCATGGTTATAAAACCATAATTCTAACCTGTCTAATTCATATTACTATATTATATAAATATTTATTAATTTTAAAATAATATTTATCTCGATATCTTGCATATTTTGATAATCTAATCCGCATAAAACCAAAATTATTATAAAAAAATCTAATATGTCCCATCAAATTACCATATAGTTTGAATATTTATTAGTTTTAATATGCATAATTTTAGTTTGATTAAATATGATTAAAAATAAATATAATAACATATTCATTAATCATATTATTAATATGTGTTATTTTGAAAATATTATTTAAATTTCAATTGTGAAATTAAATCTAAAATTTATTTAAAAAAGTGTAAAGTAATTTAAATCAAAGTCTATTTTCAGAATTAAAGTTATTGATAGAAAAAATTAAATAGTTTAAATTTTAAATTAAATACAACCTATATTTAAGGAAATTTTTAGTTATTTAAATAAAAATCTTAATTTTTGGAATTAAATGTATATATAAAAGAAATTTTATTTTTATATAATATTAGAATAAATTGGAATAATTTTAATAGTATTTCTAATATATATTTTTAAAAAAACTTTGAGAGTGTTTGGAAGCAAGTATTAAAAGTGCTTCTGTTTTAATATAATAGATATAATTCTCTTGTGGTTTTATAAAACTTGTACGGTCACATACATTAGAATTTCTAAATTTTAAGAGTTTATTTGAACTCTTTGTTACGAGAACTTCAATTTGATATATATTTTATCACAATTTAACAATTTTAACAATGGTGATAGTTAATTATTTGACGAATTAAATATAATTTCATGGATTTGCACTTCTTGTGAATTGAAGATAAATTTGTCCAAAAAATGTCATTTTGGTTTTTATGATTTTTTTTGGAGTCAACTAATATTTTGGTTTTTCATAAACCCAATTGGCCAATCCGAACTGGTTATTAGTATGTCATTCAACCGATCCGGTTATTATATCATTGCTGATAGCTATGAGACAAACTTTTATTCTTGAAAATTTATCTTCCATTTTATATTTATCAATAATTGTTAAACAAAAATGCCTCTTTTTAGTCTTTTTCTGTTTGTTATTGATATTTTCTCTCTCTCTCTGTCTCTCTTTTTATTTTGCTTTGAAATTTGAATAATACTTTGATTGATAATGCAAACGAGTAACAAAAAAACAAGAAAGGGTCTACCGACTACCAATAAGGTAAACCCATAACAAGGCCCAAAGAAGAAGAAAAAAAAAAACAAAAATAAGTTTAATAAACTCTTTGCACATTGACAACCACCGTCGGGTCACGGAAAAAGTTGTCGCCGGAGGATAGCAATGCTGAGTCAAGAAAGGTTTAGGGGTTAATAAAAACTTTGTATTGGTTTTGGGATCAGAATCGATTGGTTTCTTGTTTCTCTGAGACTGACTACAAAATCTACAAATTCAATACCTGATCTTTTGTTGGTTCTCTCACGTTGATTCTCAGAAGTTTTATCTCCATTTCAAACCTCTTCGTCGACCTAATTTCAGGTAATGACTTTGCCAATTTGTGTTTGTTTTAGTTTTGATTGTTGAGTTGAGTCGAGTCGTGTTACTTGAATCGTTCGACTTTTTGTCTGAAGCGATATTGAAATACCAAAAAAAAAAAATTATAATATTTTTTAGGTAAATCTCTGGTATGTCTCAGTTAGTTTTGAAAATATTAATACATGATAATTTTAAAAAACAAAGAAGCCCATGGTTTACGAGAGCTGTATCAATGGTCTAAAACTAGTTGTTGTATAAAAAAAACTGCTTATTCAACAGGAGAGAAATAATCAAATAAGTAAAGTAGCAGCAACTAGACAAGTTTGACTTCGAAAGCTTCGTCCTTTACAAATTCAGAAACCAAAAACTTGAACAATGTCACTAATCAGCTTTGCCTCTGCTTCTTCCTCTGTTTTTATCACCCCAACCGTTAGATCTTTCACATCTCGCCGTTCCAATTACACCGTAATGTCCGCCGTCCGATCTGAGTCTCCTTCGACGTGTCCTGTGCTGACCAAGTTTCAGAGAGACTGCGCCACTCCTAAGCCGTTCTTACGCAAAGTAGCCGACGCCATTTCCGATGACATGCGAGCCGGTCTTGCTGTCCAAGGAGGTGGAGATCTCGACATGATCTTGACTTTTGTCGACGCTTTGCCTTCTGGGTATTTCTCCTTTTATGCTCTTGTGATCTCAAGATTATGAAAAGTTTGAGTCTTTAGTGTGGAACAATGAACTAAGTAGAATAAAAATGATGTTTTTGAGATGTTGCATTAATGGATTATAGGAAGGAGGAAGGTTTGTTCTATGCATTGGATTTAGGAGGTACAAATTTTCGGGTGCGTAGTGTGGAATTAGGAGGAAAAGAAAAGCGTGTCGTAGCTGCTGAATCTGAACAGCTATCGATTCCTCATGAGCTTATGATTGGTACAAGTGAGGTAACGAAAAATCTTAAACACAACACAATGAGTGAGTGTGAATCGTTTTTTAATTGAATGTGTTCTTGATTGAATGTTTTGCAGCAACTCTTTGGGTTCATTGCTTCAAAGCTTGCTGATTTTGTCGCAAAGGAGAAGCCGGGGCAGTTTCCACTGGAACAAGGGAGGAAAAGAGAGATAGGATTTACTTTCTCCTTCCCTGTGTATCAAACCTCCATTGATTCAGGGACACTAATCAAGTGGACTAAAGGGTTTCATGTGTCTGGAATGGTGAGTTCATATTTCTGATCCGCAAGTTTCTTATGTGGTTCTACTACATTGTAGTAACCTATTAAAATGTTATTGCAGGAAGGAAAAAACGTGGTTGCTTGTTTAAATGAAGCTATGGAAGCACATGGACTCGATATGCGAGTTTCTGCTCTTGTATGTTTCTTATTTTCTCTCAAAAATGGAAAGAAACTCTTGTCTTGTGCATATTGTAAAGTTTTTGGTGTTTGTGTGTGTTTTAAGGTAAATGATGGAGTGGGAACATTAGCTGGAGCAAGGTATTGGGACGAGGATGTTATGGTCGGTGTGATTCTTGGCACCGGGACAAACGCTTGTTATGTAGAGCAGAAGAGTGCAATTCCTAAACTCCAAAACAAATCTTCTTCTGGAACAACGGTATATTATTGATATTGATTTATATATAAATACATATGTTCGCCGTAATTGTTACCATGCTTAAGATCTTTTGATTTGGAATCAGGTCATAAACACAGAGTGGGGAGGGTTTTCTAAGATTCTTCCGAGAACCATTTTTGACCAAGAGATGGATAAGGAAAGCCTGAATCCTGGTGAACATGTAGGAGAATTTTATCCTTTTTCTAGCAACATTATGTTTTTTTTTTGGTTTGGTTACTGTATGATCACTGGTTCTTACACAGTTTTTCATTTGTTTATATGTGGATGAAGTTATATGAGAAGATGATCTCAGGGATGTATCTTGGTGAAATTGTAAGGAGGGTTTTGCTCCAAATGTGTAAAACTAGTGACTTGTTTGGACAATTCGTTCCTGTCAAACTATCCAGTCCTTTTGCACTCAGGTACTTGTCTCTCTCACTATCTTTCTCCCTGTCCAGATTTGGTTTGTGGTTTAAAAAGTAGGTTTAGTTAGAGATGGAGAGTTCGGTTTACGGTTTGGTTTTGGCTCAGTTTTTATTGGTTTATCGGTTTTGTGAAAAGTGAAACTAAATGAAAAATCATTTGTAATTCGGTTTCGTTTTAGTTTGGTTTGGATTTCTTTTGGGTCAGATCAAAGAAAATGATTGAAAACTATCAATTTGTGTATTTTGGTATTCCCGGTTCGGTTTGATTAAGTATACTAGAATTGTTTCGATTTAGTTTTGATTTTGGTTTTTAAACCAAGAAAACCAATTTGGTCATAAACAAATTCTGATTTAAACAATTAGTTCAGATTAGGTTCGGTTTGGTTTTGATGCTCATCAATGGATAGAATTGTATATCTCAAAGTGGCTGTTGGTTTTAGGTAGGGAGTGCCTTTGAAAACTTGATTAGCTATCAAAATGTTGAAAATTCCAAACTGAATGTTAATCATTTGTTTGATTTTTTTTTTTTAAATTTTGTATAGGACCGAAGATCTGTGCAAAATGCAAGAGGACAATACGGATGATCTTATGAGTGTTGGATCATTCCTATACAACTTTTTAGAGGTAAGTAGTTAACATATACAATGGATAAGAATCACATCCATAGATTTGGATAACTTTATCGACCCTATCGAGATATTGGAAACAGGTCGAGGCCAATCTGAAGGCGAGGAGGAGAGTGGTGGAAGTGTGTGACACGGTGGTGAAGCGTGGAGGGCGTCTAGCCGGAGCTGGTATAGTGGCGATTCTTGAGAAGATTGAAAACGAAACCAAAAGAATGGCTTCAGGTCAAAGAACCGTTGTGGCTATAGACGGTGCACTCTACGAGAAGTACCCACAGTATCGACGGTATATGCAAGATTCTCTAGTCGAGCTTCTTGGCCATGATCTTGCAAGTCACGTTGTGATCAAACATACTAAAGACGTGTCTGGTCTCGGTGCTGCTCTTTTGGCCGCCACTAACTCCATTTACTAGTGCTTGAACATCTACTTACATGAGTAAAGACTTTGGTGCGGTTTGTTTGTGTACATTATGTTATATATTTATATAACAAGAGTTTGTTTTTTTATGCTTGTGTGCATGTACTAGTTTTAGATCTAAGCCCCAACCATATTTTACTAAATGTAACCTTCTAGATGAAATTAAACACGTTTAGATTAAATAAAACAAACAAATAATTTCACAACCGATAAATTCATCAAACATTTGTATTGCTAGAAAAGTAGATAGGATGACACATTTAATTTTGTAGAAAAATAGACCGCTACAGAGCGGTTTCAAGCCATCAATAGACTGGTCCTTTGAATTATTTTGGTTTATAATTGTAATTTTGAGTAATTTTGTTTTTTTATGTCTAAATTAATGTATCATAAACCAAGATTAATTTCACATTTCCTTTATAAATGAGCCTTGAAAGGAACTGGGAAATTTATGATAAAAAAAAAAGGAACTGGGAAATTCTAAATTTTCACCACTCTCCCCCTACATCATTTTCATGTAACGCGAAATTTGTCTGGACTTTTTCGGTTAAGTACCTGATTTCGCCAGCGTGAAAATTCAAAGCGAGATCTGAAAAAAGGAAGCCAAAAGAGTCGAAAGGAATCGGCCAAAAAGGGTTACTTCTTCTCTGTTAAGCTCCTGAATTCTCCAGAGAAAATGGTTTACTGCTCTGTCTCTTTCTCCAACTTTGCTTCCTTTCTGATTCATGACGCTTAATTTTCATCTCTCTCTCTCAATTTCCTCTTCTCTGTTTCCAGATCCGATTCATATTATTGCAGAACAGACAAGGGAAGACTCGTCTCGCCAAATACTATGTTCCTCTCGAAGAATCCGAGAAACACAAGGTTGAATACGAGGTATAATTCTTATCTTCCTCTTTTTTCTCTGTCCTATGCTTCGTGTTTCTGAATCCTCAGTTTTCCCTCCAGGTTCATAGGTTAGTGGTGAATCGCGACTCAAAGTTCACCAACTTCGTCGAGGTGCGTGGCTCGATTTCTGAATTTTATCATCCATGATCCATAACGAGATTAGGGTTCTTCGTAGGGAAAAATATTGGGATTACACTGGTTTGATCGGTTTGAAAGTGCATTAGCTTGTTGAAAACTGCGATTTTTTCCTCAATTGGGTGGTTCATATTGTTAATTCGAGATGTAAAGCTCACTAATTTCGCTGAGGTTTGTGGTTCGATTTCAAAATTTACTATCCATCATGATCCATAACGAGATAAGGGTTCTTCATTAGGAAAAGTATAGGCATTACACTGGTTTGATCGATTTTGAAGTGCATTGGCTTGTTGAAAACTGCGAAATTTTCCTCAGTTGGGTGGTTCAGTTAATTCGAGATGTAAAGCTCACTAATTTCGTTGAGGTTTGTGGTTCGATTTCAAAATTTATTGTTCCTGATTCATAAAGAGATTCGGGTTCTTCATATGGTAAAGTATAGGCATTACACTAATTTGATCGATTTGAAAGTGCATTTGGCTTGTTGAAACTGCGAAGTTTTACTCAATTGGGGGATTTGTATTTGTTAGTTCGAGATGTAGATAGAAGCCAAGCCTTGATTTTGAGTTTCTAGCTTCATTTGTTAATGTCATGGTTGGTATCAAATTCTTTGTAGAGGCATGCAAATGTCATTTAGAACCAATGTTGTGGAATGCATTGTGAAATCTGTCATGTATAAATGCAACCATGTTTTTTTTTTCCAGTTTAGAACACACAAGGTGATATACAGGCGTTACGCTGGATTGTTCTTCTCCGTTTGCGTGGACATAACGGACAACGAGCTGGCTTACTTGGAGTCCATCCATCTGTTTGTGGAGATATTGGACCATTTCTTCAGCAATGTTTGTGAGCTTGATTTAGTGTTTAATTTCCACAAGGTACAAATACCTCTTTGTTGCTCTTATCCTTTTATACAATTTAGTTCCGCAAACTGCTAATTCGGATTTCTTACCCTAAGTTTGACTTCTGATGTTGTACAATCACCAGTTTCCAAAAAACCTGTGATTTTGATTTGTCTCTTTGCTGCTTGGAAGTTCTCGTCTATGAAACTTTTAAGGTTTTATCAAATCGAAGCTTGTGTTTATTAAAAACAAAAGCCTGTTATCGTTCTCTTCTCATTGTATTTGGCGCTTGAGTGTGAGCATGTGTGATAAATATCTGTACGCAGCTTCAAAATAGCATTCCGCAGTTGTGTTTTCTTTATGTAGATGCTATTGTCTTTCTAGATTTGATCTATGTTTGTACTAATAGTTGCTACTAAATTCCCTATGACTTATATTAATAGGTGTACCTGATACTCGATGAATTCATTCTTGCTGGGGAGCTCCAAGAAACAAGCAAAAGGGTGTGAAATAATCTGTTTCAAGCTTGTTCTCTTGCACTAAAATGTATCACACATGCTCTCTGTCGCAAGGGCTAAACATATAAATGTTTTGGGCAACTTTTAACTTGCAGGCGATCATCGAAAGGATGTCAGAACTCGAGAAGCTAGATTGATGAGCATTTCTCAAGAAGCTAGAGTGCTTGTCGAGATGTTTATGTCATTCTTGCGTGGCCGGAGATTTACATTTTTTTTTTCTCGAGTTGAAGACAGTTGTGGTATTAAGATTGCAAAGGATATAAATTTAATCTGCTGAGATTTACATTCCATGTTTATCTCTGTGAGATCTTCATTTCAAGGTTACTATTTATCAGACATGAAATTTTGTATAAATCTATTTTGGTTTCGCAGAACCTTGGTATCCAGAGCATATGCTAGCTGAGAGGATATGAAACTATATTGATACTGTTGAACTATCAACAAACTAAGAAGACAAATAGTGAGGAATGTGATCCAAATTTCTTGGATCAGCTTCAAAGATTATTGTAATATACAGAGGATCGTCGATCATCTCGAAACTCTTATATCTTATTGACAAAACCAGGATCATGAGAGCTTTTCTCACTACCCAACTTTTCAAGTTAATACTTAGCTTGCAAATGCAACTTTACCGAGAGACTTTGCGAGTACCTGAATCGATCAAACACACACGAAGACAACCACTAACCAGTATAGATAACCAGGGCTTATCAATCATGTATGTTTCTTGTCTAATGCCTCCTAAATAGCATGGTTTCAGTTAATTCCATCAAGCCGAGCATTGTCCTCTGGTGTTTCTCACAGTTTTGACATAGTCCCAAGAGCTCTCCAATAACTCCAGCTCCCTTTGAATCCACTAACACCATTTTTATATTGCACCTAGCATATAAGCTTACACTAAATCCTTATTATTCTTCAAACAAAATCTCAACATCTACACTAAATCCTTACACTAATTGATGCTTAAATATCTCTTACCCTAAATCCTTACACCAATTGATGCTTGGACATCTCTTACCCTGAATCCTCATATTCTTCTTAGATAAACAAAACCCTTCCACAATTAGTAAACTCGACAAAGATCTACCACTTAACTTGTATATCACAAAACCAAGCTTAACATATGCAACAATCCATGGAAGACAAAAAAAGACAGGAAGTGATAATGATAACACAGTAAAATCAAATCTTTGTCTTCTTCGGCTTCACAGGACATTTTACATGAGAAGCATCCTCCTCCTCACCTTCTACATCAGATAATATTTCATCGGGGACATCATCTGGAACATTATGCTTTGTAATAAACTCCTTCAGTATCTTCATACTTTCCTCTTTCATCGAAACCAATTGGTCCAAGACAGTATCACCTTTGTTTGCATCAATGGTGTAGCTCTCTGTCCCAAGTTTGAATTCGACTTTAACCAGCCTCTTCTCAGGTACTGAGTCGTGAGTCTCAATCTCCATAATCAAGCCTGAAATTTACTTTTTTTTTTACAATGTTCGATCTCAAATCAAAACTTAAAAGCGAATTGGACTGAAATTTCGGAAATTTAAGCGTTTCGAAGTATAAATTAAGCAAAGAACAGTAACGAGTTTAAGATGAATTTAGCTTCTCGGTACCTGAGTGAAGTCAATCCCGCTGGAAGAAGAAGCCAAAGGAAGATGAAGCCGACGATTATGAGCGATTACAAAATTAGGGGGACCAAATATTTACCCTAAGAACATGTGGGGCATCAATAGTTTAAATCTTTAAATTAATAAAATAGTCTAGTAAAAAGTAAAAATTTAAGACTAAAAACTCAAAAAGAAAGAAACTATAAATACCCTAAAAAATGAAATTAAAGCGAATATTTTTATTTCGAACAAGAAGTAAGGTTTTATTTTTTATTATCTATGTATATTTTTGTAAATTGTTAATTTTTTTGGTTTTCTCATCTTAAAAAACAATTACATGTACAATTTTAAGATGAATGATTCTACAGGATTTTCCCAATAAACAAAACAAGATTTTCCATATAAGAAAATCTGAAATTTTTTTTTCTCACTTTAGTTTTCCATTTCTCCACTTTTTATGCATCATCTATTACTAATAAAAATTGAAGTAATATGTCTATAAAGATGTCCACATGAGATTAAAAAGAGCAATTCTATTAGTCTACATTAATATTTAAAATTAAAAAAAATTCTATATTTTAAAATTGTATTGTTAACAAAAACATATTTATATAAAAATAAAAATTGGAGCTATATTTCTCTAAAAACAGATTTAAAAAATCAATTTTATTAGTCCACATCAATAATTAAAATTAGAAATTTTTAAATTATAAAATTGCATTGGTAATACAAAAATTACAGAGAAAAATGTTAATTTAAAATATTTCATTATTAATAATAGTTTTTTCCGTAATAATAGTTTTTCCGTAATAATAGTTAAAGCTGTATTTTAAAAAATTTTACTATAATTGTTAAGAAAATTAATCAAAAACTAAAAAAATTTCCATTATAACAAAAAAATAACCAACATAATATTAAACTCTTTAGTTAAAATTTCAATTTATTATAATATATGTTATTTATACAAATTAAATTTACTTGATTTTAAGGTTGTTCACTTAAAATTTTAAATAATAAATAATTATGATTAACATACATCTAAAATTTTTGTCACATGTGCAAAATATATTTCCACATAATTTCATGTATATGAAATTGATCGAAAGTTCAATTCTATTGGTTTACATCGATATTTCAAATTTAGAAAAAAAATTTTTTTGTCAACAGCTTAAAACTATCTAGAACGGTTCGGCCAACTAAACCGGTGGTAACGAGTTCACATAAATGATTTCTTGAGGGTGGACACGAACGCTTCTTGCAAGTCCGTCTTCGAGTTCTTTGTGCGTAGAATGTGTGTTAGAAGGAAAAAGCTGAAACTGTCCTTCATTCTTCCAATCTCTCTCAAATGTAGCGCGAAAGCTGGCCATTCGTCGGGTTTAGACACCATCTTCACCATCTCCGAACAATCTGTTGCAAAAGGTACTTCTGTCTTATGGTTCAGGAGCATGCAATGCATTGCCCATATAAAGGGCCTCCATTTCTGCATGTAAAGGCGTAAGACTCCGTCGTACCTTCTGTGCTCCCATTATAATTTCCGTGACTCCTTCCTTAAATTAATACCATCCAAGTCCCGCAAAGGGATCCGTGTCTTTCCAAGAGCTATCAAGATAACACCACCAACCCTCGTAGGGTGTGTGTAGTGATGAGCTCTGAACATTGCAAATATCTGTGGTGGGTGGATCTTGTTCTTCCCTTTGGGCCTCCTCTCATAAGGTCGCTTCTGTTTCCGCTATTTTTAATGTGATCCGTGGGTCTATGTTTTTGTTCGAATTTTTTTTTTTTTCGTACCTTCCATATGTTTTTGATCAGGGATAGTGTGTGTTTTTCGCCTCTTGTGGGATTCTCCAGAAAAGATGATCAAAATTTGGATAAATTGAGGTTCCCGGGAAAATCCCAGGGGGTGATGGAATTTGGGATAATGCCCATGTTTGTAAAGCCGGAGGGCATTCAAACAAGACATGATTAATTGATTCTTCTTCCGCTCCACACCGTGCACATTGTGTGTCGCATTGAATTCCCGTGTACGTAATCTAGAGGGTACCGAGAGGCATCCCGATAGAGCTTGCCAAATGAAGTGCCTCAGTTTTGGTGCACATTTCAATTTCCAAGTGTGTGCTTGTAATGCCTTTATATCTGGACCGAAGGGAACCACTGTGTCTCCCTCAGGGTAATCCTGCTCAGCCTTGTACCCAGTTTTTATCGTATAACGCCCAGATTTTGTGAAGTGCCATCCTAGTTGGTCAGGCATATACGAGCTACTAATAGGGATTCCCCGAATAATCTCTACGTCCCCTGGGTCAATGATTGCCGACAGCAGTCCCAAATTCCTTGATTGTGTCGCTGGATCGATCAAGTGATTGACCATAAGATTCAGATAATAATTAATACCTTTACAAATGGCTGGTCTCAGGCGAGAAGAAGGTATCCATGGATTACTCCAGACAGAAATGGAGCATCCTGAACCAACTCTTTGATTAATCCTTTATTAACCAGAGATCAAGCCGAGAGAATACTTCGCCATATATAAGATGGTGAGTAGGATCTCACTGGGTCCAAAGGGCTCGTGTTCTGAAAATATCGTCCCTTAAAGACCCGAGCAAACAAGGAGGTTGGTCTATCAATGTGCCACCACAATTGCTTTGCCAATAAAGCTGTGTTAAAATCCTCCACATCACGAAAACCTATTCCTCCTTCATTTTTAGATTTACATATTTTCTTCCACGCCATCCAGTGTATACCACAATTGTGTCCATCTGAGCTCCAACAGTATTTTGCCGCTGCACTAGTTAATTTTTTTGTTGTGACTTTAGGCAACCAAAAGCAAAACATAACAAAAGTTGGCATCGCGGATGCTACCGATTTAATAAGAACTTCTTTACCCTCTTTTGACAACAAACTTGATGTCCACTTATTTATTTTATCGTTTTGTCTCTCTGCTACAAAATTAAATACCTTGGTCTTGGCACCGTCTAGACTTTCTGGGATGCCGAGATAGGATCCCGTCCCTCCCTCTCTAGAAATTCCTATGATCTGCCGCATCTCAGTTTTGGTTTGATCTGTGACCGTGTGACCGAATTGAATCGAGGATTTGTCGAAGTTAATTTGTTGTCCCGAAACACTTTTATACTGCTTCAGTATGTCCAACAGTTTCTGGCATTCCTCTTTATTTGTTTTATAGAAGAAAGGCTATCGTCTGCAAAAAGCAAGTGTGAGACTGCAGGGCTTGCCCTTGCAATCTTCAGACCAGTTATTAGCTTTTTCTCTTCAACCTTCTTGATATTTGTTATTAAGACTTCCGTACATAAAATAAATAAGTATGGGGATAAAGGGACCCCTTGGCATAGACCATGTTTTGGGATTATTTGGCCCTTTGGTTGACCATTTAGAAGAACTCTATATTTCACCGTTGTAATACACTTCATCATCCATGTAAATCCATCTTTCTGCAAAGCCTAGTCATCGTAAGAGGTCCTCAATAAATGTCCATTCGACTCGATCACACGCTTTACTTATATCCGTCTTGATTGACATATAATTACTTTTGCATGATTTATTGGTTCGTAGACTATGGAACATCTCTTGTGCTATGAGGATATTGTCTGAGATCAACTATCATGCCACAAAGGCTGATTTTGTTTCCGATATTAAAGCCGGTAATAGTTTTTTCAACCGTTGACGTAGCACCTTAGATATAATTTTATAAGCTACATTACATAGGCTAATAGGTCACAACTCCATCATCCGCGTAGGCCGTTCTGTTTTTGGAATTAGGCAGATGTTTGTTAGATTTCCAAAAACCTATTGACTAACCGTACTAGATCCGCCTTGATGATTTGCCACGAGCGCTGATAAAAAATTGCTGTCATCCCATCGGGTCCTGGGACTTTTTCTGGGTGCATCAGAAATAGTGCGTTTCTCATTACCTCTTTTGAGGCTATTGTCTTGAGTATAGCATTATTCGTTTCCAAAATTAATGGTCTAATCTGTCCCAGTGCATTATCAAATTCTGTTGGGGATGTCGTGGTAAATCGTTCCTCAAAGTATTTAACTGCTACCTACTCAATCTCGTTTTCGGATGTAACCCAAGTTCCCACCTCATTATGCAAACCAATAATCCGATTTTGTGCCCGTCGTTGTTTAAGTAGAGCATGGTAAAATTTGGTATTTTTATCCCCTGCCTGTGCCCATTGAGTCCGACTTTTCTGTTGCCAGTATAGTTCTTCATCCCGATAAGCTGCTTGTAGTTTTTTTTGCTGTGACCTTCAGTTCCTCCTCCGTTCGTGTATCATTGTTTTGGATTTCTTCTAATGTCCGTTTCGAATCCTCGATTTGTCTTTCCCATATGGCTGTAGGGTTTTCCTCCATTTGGATATCTCTCGTCGACAGTTCTGAATTTTCCTCATGAAATTCATTTCCTCACCACCGGAATCTAAGTCCCAGCCTTTGGAAATTGTTTCCATTAAACCGTTTTGTCCTAACCATCGTTTATCAAAGCGGAATTGTGAGTTTTTCCGAGGAATTTTATCCTCGATTGTTGCGACTATTGGCCTATGGTCCGAACCAATCATTGCCAGATACTCAACAAATGAATGTGAGAAAAGCTCATGCCAATCCTCATTCGCTAGAGCCCGATCAAGTCTACATCGGACAAGTTTTGCATTCCTTTGTCCTCTCCAAGACATTATATTACCTAAACAAGGGAATTCCAAGAAGCCACTGTCCCGTATCATAAGGTTAAAGAACACAAACATGGAGGCATTCCTTAAATTTCCCCCTTGCTTTTCATTATTACTAGTAATCTCATTCATGTCACCAATAATAAACCAGGGATCTGTCCTTATAAGACTTATTCGAGTTGATCTTTCCCAAAATTACTTATTGTATATTCCCAAACCAGGGATCTGTCCTTATAAGACTCATTCAAGTTAATCTCATGCTAGAGATTAATGTAAAAGTTCTTAGTTTTGAGATGTTTAATTTGTTATTTATTTTTTAAAATTTGTATGTACCTAACCTATACTGGTTTTGCCTACTTAATTATCATTAGAAAAAATGAGAATGAAGTAAATTGAATATAATCATCAAAAAAATCATTTA